GATAGAAACCTGAAGCATCCGCAGAGATGAAAAAAAAAAGTCAGCACAGGAAAGAGGAAACCTGGAGATTGAAGGAGCAGGAGGAAACCAGACAGATTGAGTGGAAGAAGAAATGCCTTAGCTGCAACACATTTTCCTGTCGCCCGGCCCTGCAGGTGAGCCGAGCAGGTTTCCTGATTGATAGGATTTGTCAGCCCTTGTTACCTGGGTCATCTTTTCCCTGTTGGCCTTGGGGTTCAGGGGGGCCTCAGTGAGCAGGACTGGGTGCTCCTCGGGGGCAACCCTCAGCTCGTTGTAGAAGGTGTGATGCCAGATCTTCTCCATGTCGTCCCAGTTGGTGACGATGCCGTGCTCAATGGGGTACTTCAGGGTGAGGATTCCCCTTTTGCTCTGTGCCTCATCACCAACATAGCTGTCTTTCTGGCCCATACCAACCATCACACCCTAGGATGCAAACAGGAAAACAAGTTAAAAATCAAGAACGAAATTTACAGAAACATGGAATAGTTTTTACAAGCTTTGTTATTTATATAGTTTGATTTAGATATTATAGGGAAACAGTACCTGATGTCTGGGACGTCCAACAATAGAGGGGAACACAGCACGTGGAGCATCATCTCCTGCAAAGCCAGCTTTGCACATACCGGATCCGTTGTCAACAACGAGGGCGGCGATTTCGTCTTCCATTTTCTGGACATTGAGAGAGGGGAGGGATAAAAGGGGGGAGAGTGTTTGTAAATCTGGTGCTCTGTGACAGCTGCGTGTTGCATCTGGCAAACATCAACTCGGTTAAAGTCTTGTCATTATGGAGACTGGACGCTGGATGTCGCAGTGGCGCAGGTTCCAGTCCAAATCCAGAGCTGGGAAACAAAGGCAGTTTCTCCCTCGGTCTGGCCATGGCCATATAAGGCAAAAGTGAGAGCAGCTTAGGAGACGGCGGGAGCCCGGCCCGTGAAGCCGCCCCGTGTTGTCGTTAAACCTCAAATGACACAGACAACGGGCCACTCCCTTCACTGGGATCACCATAACGGATTTAAGGTTAACCATCAACACATCTCTTTAAAAACAGCAGTGTTAACAGTCGAGGTGAATGAACTTCCACCGCTGTCATGTCTGTCATCAAGTGTAACGTTACCGTTATGTCGTGACCACCACAGTTAACAAGGTTATGTGAAAGAAAAAGCCAACTTCTAAATGACATTTCTAACATAAGTAACCTTAACTTCATTGTCAAATGACGTTAACACCTGTAATGTCAGAGCAAGTTATTACCATTTCTACACACCTAACGTTAGCTAATAACGCCTGCTACATTCAATCCGTCTAATCTATCATCATCATCGGTCTGTGTGAAATCGGAGACACCAGACTGGGAGATCGTGCCAAAGCAGATGCTTACATGTAAAGCGAGAAGGTCAAGATTTAACGGATTTAACGCAGTCTGATTTGTTAAACTGATGAAGTGATGACAACCGGGTTATTTCTCACTCATCTGTTAAATATAAACGACAGCATGCCAACACATTTCTATACGTAAGAAGTTACTGGTAACTGTTAAAAAGCCAACAGCTGCATAACGTTAGGATGCATAATAAGGAAAACATAATGAATGACCGAGTGCATTTAAACAGTTCAACGCTTGCATCAACTTGAGGAAAGTCATCCAGAAAACCTTACATCATAACTTAACCGGTGGACTAAATTCAGTTTTCTGGCTAAAACGCGTCTTATATATTAAAGAAAATAATTTCAAATATGAGCAAAAACTTTCGTCTCCATTCCGCAGTAGTCTTACCTGTGTGAGGGAGGGTTCTCGGCTTAGGAGGACTGTGACTGAGCGCTACACTCTGGTAGGATTTAGTGTCTGGGCTTGACTGCAATGGAGTCCAATAAATTGCAGGGTTTTATCAGAGCTCGTGCTGCAGCCCCTTTCCATATAAGGAGAACTTTCCGCACGGCGCCCTGTGATTGGTTCTGCCGCATCCACTGGGTGTGGCGCATGTAGATAACGGTTCTGCGCTCTGACAGGACAGAGGGGACAAGCACCACGAAACTAACCTATATACTATCAATATTACCACTCTGGAGCTCCGTGTTCAATAAAACACATTTTATAGGCCTATCTATATTCCTCGTTATTGTGATCGCAATGGGGATGATACGCAAGTGTGATACACAAGTGGGCAATAAATCACAGAACTCACAACAGAGTCCTTGAGTATCAAACGATTTGAAATAGCTGCCTATTGTATTTTAAACCGGTGACATTTAGCAAAAGAGCACATTTATTATTTTATTTACTCCTCCACTTAAGGAAAGGGCCTGCAGATCCTGGTTACACAAACTCTTAACCACATTTGATTCATGTACCCATGCTATTGTCTTCTGTTCTATGTTTGTGCATTGGAGGAAAATGTAAGTGGCGGACACAGACAAACAGATCCATAATTCATCTAATTTAAGTAAGTGAAGGACAGAAGGGGAATGCAACAGAACTGGATTGCTCTGAAGATTGTGCTAATTCTCATGGCAGAGACTTAAGCAGTTGCCAGTGATTACAATCTCAGGGTCACTGACAGCACTGTTAACACCCCGACTGACAGTCTGCCCAAGCATACCAATGTCTCTCACATGCAGAGCAGAGTGACAGTGATACATGTGGTTAAGCTGAGATATGTTTACAGCAAACACTCAGGAGACTGTAAATCTTATCTCTCATCACTTGACTGATGATGTTTAAATGAGTGAAGGGAGGGGGGAGCAGATTACTTGCCTCAATGAGGTAATAGACAGGTGTGTAATTTCAGGAACATACCTATATTTGGTGTCAAAATGAAACTGCAAGGCCTATTATGATATTACTACTCAGGAATGTGACTCACTTTGATATGCATTTACACACCTGCTCTTGCACAAACCCGAAAATGTCACACAAGGCAAATCCTTGTGCATCTCTGAATGGAAATACTTTAGATGTCATATTTAATATTATGATAACACACTAGGAAATATTCATGCAAAGCTCATCTTGTAAGTTGACCAGAGACTAAGTGGATGGGTTGGGGTGCTGTTTTAACTCAACACGGGCACAGGACAAGGACTCATAAACTTATTCTAGGGATTCTTGCTGGCTCTATGTGTTCCTAATAAGGATATATGGGAGCTGGCTCACCAAAAAAGACAGGAAGTAGGTTTCACAGTGCTTCACTTCTGCAGATGCACGCAGGAAGTGACCACACAAACCTACAAACACACACAAACGCCCATATGTCATCAGGTATGGAGCAGCTAAGGACAACATAGAGGGGGGTGAGTGAGCTGATCAGGGAGTTGGCTTTCGGACTGGCATTATCCTGCTCTAGATAGACACTAAACACACACACACACACACACACACACACACACACCAAGTATAGACCCAGGGACAGGACAACCATCCCTTTAAGAGTTCCTTTGGATGACGTCCATATAAGGAGATATTGGAGCAAGTCACATGGGTGGAAGAATGCACTAGTCAGATCATGTGACCAGTCTGAGGAAATGAATGAATCTCCCTTTTTAAGGCTGTATGCCTGTGTGTGTGTGTGTGTGTTTTAGAGTGAATTTGCATGCTGCTTTAGGTTTGCCACTTTTCACCTTGATTTCTGTATATTTCATCCAGAGATCTACATTTAGAAAGGAGATACCAACATTTTTTTCTTTTTTAAACTTTGTACTCACTTACTCCTCCTTGACAGAAATTTCTCAGTATTTCCTCTGGACACTCATCATGTAATCCCTTGAACCATTTCAAAAGTTGCTGGTGTGCATGACTCACGCATGCATTACAACACCCACTCGCACGCACACATACACACACTCCCTGTATTGCTCACTCACACAGTCAGAGAAATTCACAGGCTTGGCTCTCGGCTCAGACTAAGACCGTATATGGAAGAAGCTAGCAGGTAGCTTCTGTCCACTTTCACTCATCCCTCTCCCCATCTCTCGCGCTCTCTCTCCCTTAAACACACATCAACTCTGCCTTTATTTGCCACATTCCCGCCCTCCCCCAATCAATCAATCCCTTATTACTTTTCCCCAGACAATTATAGGAATGCAAGGTTGGTGTACATATTTGCCTGTTTCGCTCTCTACCAGTCTTTCCCAGTCATGTAAGGCATCACATTCCACATAGGTTTCACACTAAGCATTCAGAGGAGGTGTGGTTTGTGTGTGTGTGCTCAAATGAGAAAGAGAGGGAGGTGTGTGAAATACTCTTAAATGTAATTTTAGAAGATACTAATTTCTAGACAGAATCCTCACCCCCCAAAAAACAGTCAGCTTCAACCAGACAAAGGCAAAGAAAAGTGAACACATTACTCAAATGATCAGGTCTGTGTACTGGCCTCCCATGTGTCATAGAAAAGAGTTAAAATGATTACTGATTGTTTAGGGTCAAATACACTTCTCACTGTGTTTCTTTAATCATATGAGCCCTTGTAGCTTCTTATCTGTTGTCTGTTAACCATTCCCATAGTCAAACTAAACATGCAGATAACAATTAGCTACCCTGCAGCACAGATCCTGAACCATGTCCAGGTTAGTGGAGCCCAGGGGCAGAAAACTTGCTTTTGGGTCCCCAATAAAGTCTTCAAAATTATGACACAGGGTCACTATCAGACAGGACCACAAGAGTGTACTTGTACGGTGCAAATTCTTAAACATATTTTTGATCTAGCACAGGTCCCAGGGGGTCTGAACAAACGTCATCTGGACGTTTGCCTTGAACAAACGTCCAGATGACGTTTGCCTTGAAGAAGTAATTACTCCCACAGGCAATTAGATTGCTCCCTTCTTATAGTTTCTTTCAAACTTGTATTTTATTACCATTACAGTAAACCTTTGTCATGTGCTGTCATGTGTGAGTTTTGTAATGAACAGGCAGTTGGATGAAAGAACATGTAATAAATAGATGGGAAGATCGATCATTTAACTCTGCAAGAAGGTGAATATGCATATTTCCCAAAATGTCAAATTTATTAAAGCACTTTTCACTTACATCTTGATTTATCTTTATATCATATTTATGTTTTATATATGTAATTCACCCTGTAAAATGATTTAATGCCTTATGTTGAGCACTTTAACTGCCTTTGCATATGTAATGTGACAAACAATTGAACTTTCCTTGCTAAGCGATGACTTGTTTGAATTGCCCTGAGTACGATTAATGTTTATTAAAGCATTATCTACAAATCTGTGCCATAGACATTCAGACTGCCTCTTTCTTTTTCTATTTTTACACCCTACATCAGAAGGTTAGAGGGAAAATATAAGAAACACATTGAAAATGTAGCAACAATTTACCAAAAATATACACTTAATATACACACACATTTACATATTGTTTTACAGTTGTTATCAACAAAACAAGAACATTTGAGGCCTAGAATACAACAATAAGCTGCAAATACCAGTGTCAGAACAGATATTATTCTTCTTTGTGTATGTCAAGCAGTCCAGCTCTTCCCCAGGTCTACCAGCTCCATGCCTTCACAGTAGGACCGTGGCCTTGACACCCTCACCTGGTTTCACAGGGGAACAACACATAATGAAACCAGATTTTATATCTATATCTATATATATATCTATCTATCTATATCTATAATATATATATTATATCTAATATTATCTATATATCTATCTATCAGTCAAAAACTCACTGTGGGTGTCCTGTGGGAAGCCAGTTGCTGCAGAAGTGGGAAAGGAGTCCACTGAATGGGTTCCACAGGCCAGCTACAGACAGAAAGGTCACTGGCCTTACCTGAGTCCAACCAACCATCCCCATGCTCATCTCACTTCCCCCCAACCATACTGAGAGCTACAGGGAGTACAGAGAGCAAAGGATTATTTACACAGACATTGTCAATTGACTGTAGCCTATGTG